GCAACAATACTACAGCGAGAATAAAAGTTACGCCTTCTTTCTTTGCGTGAACATTTGGGCGGCGTTATGCAAATCTTCCCACATAGTGACGTAGACATGTGGGGGCGTGTTAGAACGAGACGTTTTAGGTAGGCGTGGCTGACTCTTAACTTTTATAAAGAATATCTCTTTGGATTTGAGACTTTAGTCTTTGCAACTTTACAGATCTTCTTTATGCACCAAGAGCTTGTAACACTCCAAAGAGAAAGGAACAATTGAAATCGCATCATATGACCCCTTTAAACGTAAAATCAGTTTGTGCCATCTTTAACAGCAAGAACGGCAAACAAACTTTTCTGTTAACTACAGATCATATATATGACTTTTTTTAGCTGGTGAAAATACTAGTGTTCTAATAATTTTGGCCACCACTATACACGCATACATATTTTATTATTATTATTATTATTACCATCATCATTATTTGCATATTTGTTCTTGCTCTTTGTATACTTTCTGTTTTATTATTACTCTGAAGCAATTGTGATAAATGTGTAAACGATTAGGAAAACTGCATTTCTTGTGTTGAGTGTATGATTAACCGAATAGTTATCAGTTTAGAGCCAATCAAAAATACACCATGTTCATTTGATCGAATGACAAACTAGAGTTTTGTTGGTTGCGTTTGGACAAATGGTACATAACAGTTTGTGATTTGTGTAAAATGCTTTTTTCCCCCAGATATTTTAAAAAGTATTGGTTGGTTGCATTAACTATTGTGAAAACATTTCAGAGTTTTGTGCACATTGTTTTGAGAAAATGATTTGCGTGATTTGTAATTTGTATGAAATGAATTAAAACGTACAATCTGTTTAGGAAACGTATTCAAAGTGTTCAGATGAACTGTTTTGAGAACAGTGACCTGAGTTTGGAGAAATGTGTCAAATCAACTGTAATGTTGGGACGAACCATCTGTCTGGTTATTTATAGACTGAACGCCCCTCTCTTCTCAGAATATCAGCAGCGGACGGTCGTCATGGAGATGCAGGCGACAGGTAGTAAAAGTGCTGTGATGATTGGGATGGACGGATCGTAGAGGAAGGTATGGAGGAGGAATGAACCCACAGACTTACAGTGAAAGAGGGATGCGAGCCACTGCCTAGCAACATGTTAACAACTACACCTTAGCAACTACCTACAACACCTGCCGGCGAGCTTTCCACAAGTATCTTGGTTAATATTATTTTCCCGCCCTCACAAGAAAAGTGTAGAAAGTTACTGTAATTTGATATAACATTGTGAAAATGTATCATTATAAAGTAAGACTTGACATAAAAAATAAATAAATATTAAATGTATGTGAGAATGTGTGTGTAATATAACTGATTAAATGTAATCTGGATTATGTAATCAGATTCCAAAAATGTAGTCTCCTTAATTATTTTCTCCCCTAAATATTCTACTGTGTGTCATATAATTTAGCTTTCAATATTCACAATATAGAATGACCATGTCAATGTCATGT